TTATTATATTGTATAGTTGGATGTGTGTATATATCATGTAAAACTGTAACTAGAGCGTGTAACAAAAGTAATTTCCCTCTGGGATTATTAAAGTATTTCTGATTCTGATTCTGATACTGCTGGTAATACACTAAGATGTCATGGTTTGAAATCATGCATGGCACAGAAGGTTCCCCTTCTTAAACCAGCAGATGTCAAGGCCCGTCTGAAGTTTGCCAATGACCATTTGAATGATCCAAAGAAGTCATGGGAGAAAGTCATGTGGTCAAATGAGACCAAAATAGAACTTTTTGGTCATAATTCCACAAACCATGTTTGATGGAATAAGAATGAAGAGTACCATCCCAATAACCCCATCCCTACTGTAAAGCGTGGGGATGGTAGCATCATGCTTTGGGGGTGTTTTTCTGCACATGGGACAGGGCGACAGCACCGTATTAAGGAGAGGATGACCACGGAAATGTACTGCGGGATTTTGGGAAACAACTTCTTTCCCTCAGTTAAAGCATTGAAGGCTTGTTCTTCCAACATGACAATGACCCGAAGCACACAGCCAGAATAACCAAGTTGTGGTTCCCGAAGAAGCATATCAAGGTTCGGCCATGGCCTAGCTTTTCTCCAGACCTAAACCCAATAGAGTATCATTGGAGGGAGCTCGAACTCTGTGTTTCTCAGTGACAGCTAAGAAACCTGACTGATCTAGAGAAGAAATTTTGGAGCAGTGGGCCAAAATCCCACCTGCAGTGTGTGCGAACCTTGTGAAAAACTAAAGCAAATGTTTGACCACTGTAACTGCAAACAAAGACTACTTTACCAAATATTAATATTGATTTTCTCAGGTCTTCAAATGCTTGTTTACAGCTTTATCATACAAATAAGTTCTTTAAAAACACTGTGATTTCTGGATTTTTTTTTTTTTATGTCTGTGTCTTAACGTCCGCCCTAAACCACTAAATCCCTAAATCCTTATATAGAGCAGGGACTATATAGTGGACTTTATAGTGAACTCAGTTAACTGACCATTCGGACAGATGATCACTACTTTTCGCTCCCCGTTGGTTATGTTACTCTGCCTCCCGGCGCGGTGCCTGCACCTTCTTTGTTATTTGTTGCCGCTGTCGTAGCGACAGCGGGCAGCTGTGACAACAAATCCCATGATGCTTTGCGAGGAGAGCTCTCCCCGCAAAGCATTCTGGGATATATCTGCAAGTCTAGTGACCATTGGTGACCACTACTTTTCAAGGTGCATTGTGGGAAATCTTGAGTCAACTACTTTTTCATCCACTAAACATTCAGAAACTCATCTAAAATGGCATAACTCATCTAAAATGGCATAACCACTATATAGTCCCCTATATAGCGGTTGAGGTGGACTCTCGGACACAGCCTCTCTCTCACAGTGGACAGGACAATTTCAGACCCCTCCATGATTTCTAAGTGGGGGAACTTGCAAAATAGCAGGATGTTCAAATACTTTTTTTTTTCCTCACTGTACATAACCAAGAAATAAAAGAAAAATGTAAATAAAATAAATCGTGGATTTTAGTCCCAAACCTACTGATCTTTACAACATTTCTCTCCATCTGTTTTTTTCTCTCAGTACCATTTCTTATCTTTAAATAAGTAGTCCCAAAGTACTGAACAAAGCTGGACCTTTTTGAAAACTGATACCTATATCACATCAAATATCTT